GAGTTTCTGAAGAAGGGTCTAGGCCCGAAACGTCAGCCTTCCTGCTCCTCTGACGCTGCTTGGCCTGCTGTGTTCATCGAGCTCTACACCTTACTAACCCAATTGTCTATCCATTTTTCATCTCTGAAGTAGCAACCTTCCTTTGGTCTTCTCAGTCTACAGGATTTGGAAACGACAACTTCAATTTTTCACCTAGTTCCTCATCTTCATGAATTAAGTCAATACCCATATACTTTAACTGACTCTTAAGCTACAAAATTTTTGCACTAACAAACTTACGCAAAATTTCAATTTATGGCATTTTGGCTCTGTGTCTCATCTTCCCTCTTTATTAAGGGTTTACATTGCTCCAATGTAAGAGTGATAATGTTGCACTATATTAATGAAAGATTATTCCCACTCCCCTAGTGGACAAATGAGCCAAATGCAATGCTGAGAAAGATGCCAGGTTCAGCTCCTTGGTAAACAAGTGCTACCAAAGGGGTCATTACAACAGATTGTAGACAGTTTGGCCAAAGGCAGCAGGAAGGAAATAACAGGCAAAATGTATTTCCTTGATAATCAATATTGAACACTGTAAAATTCACTAATATTGTCAGTTTTGTGCTTGGCATCTCCATGAGGTTGAACACTGACTGCCCATGCTCAGAGGTTTTCTGGGCTATGTATCAGGGCAGAGACTACTTTTCAAACTATAGAATGGTAAACTAACTGTAAACAGTAGAAAGGGAGAAAAGAAACAACACGACAAATCGGTAAAGCAGGTGAGTTCTACATTTACCACGCAACGCCAGAACTGTTCCTGGAGGCTTGGCAAAATGAAATCATGATTTATCCATGTCAGCCTTGTGAACAATATGATAAAAACTGGCAGAAATTTAATAATTGATGCTAGCATATTTAAAGCGAGAAAGAAAGATGGAGACTAGGTGATAACACAAACTGCCTGTTAATGTGGAGTTCAGCACTTTGCTGCAATTCTGCAGCATTGAAGGGGTTAGCATGCAGCTTGGAGACTATAATTACGCTGTGGATCAATATGAGCCTATCCTTCAGAAGGATGGAACACCTACACACTGTTCATGTACTGTAGCACTGCTAACATTGGCAATTTTGTTTCCATGGCATCCATTCAGACATTAATGCTGCATTATATACTACATAGATGTTTCAGGAAAGAGACCAAAACATGCTCACATCCCTGCAATGTCATAAAACTCCTCATGACAAAGATCAATAGCTGATAAAAATCAACCCACTACAGGCAGGAGACAACAAATAACCACAATCAAGTTATAAAATGAAATCAAAAATTACTGTACCGAGTGATGCCTAAAATTCATCCTGCGCCATTATAAGTCCATAATATGTTAGCATATTGGTACAATTTCTCCTACTGGAACAGCACTGTCAGCATTAGTTACAGGCTACCAGATTACAAAAGCAACAATTCACAATACCGATTTCTAGAGGCAAGAGCTCACTGTTTCTACAGTGCAGTGTAGATTTGCTTCATTGTGTATTCATTGCTGTATGACTCATAATAAGGTCCCAGTTACAAGCTCATAGAACAGGTGACCGTAATAAAGTGTAAAATATTATAAGTAGAATATTAAAGAGGCTCTTGTGGTGCAGTAGTCGTGTCCTTGACTCTTGGCCAGGAGATCTGGGTTCAAGACCACCTGCTCCAGAGGTTTGTCATAACATCTCTGAACAGGTTGGTGACAAACTAAGTAGAATGCCTACAGTCACCACAAAATGTGCAGCTATTACTGATAACTAAAAAAAAAAGAAACTACAGGCAAAACTGCTTAGTGTTAAATCCAGGCTGTTGTAATAAATCACAATCAATTCAATCGAGATTCACTCTGCAATTAATTAATAACATTGTTCAGTGTGCTGCAAATCCAGGTCTGAGACCTGTTATATGTATCTTAACTCAGGAAGCACCTCAAACATCAGGTTGCCAAAGATAAACTAGGTCTCTTGTGGCCTTTCATGCATCACAGTTCGTGACCAGTGTGCAGAAGTCACTAAACTGAAATTCTGACGTTTCAGGTCAGGACCTTCCTGACCCGAAACATCAACTTTCCTGCTCCCCTAATGCTGCCTGGCCTGCGGTGTTCTTCCAGCTCCACACTGTGTTATCTCTGACTCCAGCATCTGCAGTTCTTACTATCTCTAAACTGAAATTTTGATGCCTAGCCCTTAAAAGGAAGTAAGTGTTTCCTTTACCCAAAGTAGAAGGACTAATGCAGCCAGTTCTTCACACATATATAAAGCTGTGGCCTTGCTTTACT